GCCTCAACCCTGAAGATATAATAAATAAAAAAACATGCAAATATAGAAGCTGCACCTTTAAACACCAGTATATATTTTAATGCTCCAATTGATGTGTATTTTGCAGATCATGCTGGTGAATAATGTAAAATATTTGTTTTATTCTCAATTACAAGACTTCAAATATTGCAAAAATATGTTCTTTGGTCTTTGAGGAAATTCTAGATTCTACACACAGTGTAATAGTCCACAAATTTCAATCAGTGCAATTGTCAATAGAGAGAGAGAGAGAGAGGAGAGAAAGAGACTTACCACTGATGAGAAATTATGCACCCCATTCATACATATAGGATAAATTGTTATTTGTAACAGCTGTTGCCGCTGGTCAGGGATTCAGAAAGGTTAGTCCCAGAGTCCGAGCACTCATTCTTTTGATGGAGTCTTCATACACTACTTGATAATTCTACATGAATACAGCATGTGGCTCAACTCTTCAACTCCCCCTATAGGTATAGTTTCTTTGTTTGAGTATGCTGCTGGAGATTATTTCATTGCAGATGCAGCCATTTCGTGCTGGCAGGTATGCTGGTCTGCTATTTGGAGGCAGAACCAAAGCACGTTGCTGCAAGAGCTATCTCTACCACTGCACAAGCACAACACTGTATGAAACACTGAGCACAATGAATACGGGTTCGACTAATTTCTGAAGGTGCTGAAGATCGTGCAATCAAAAGTTAGGCTGCGCTATATTCTGGAAATTACACAAAAAAAGAGTAAACCATAATTTGAGAAGCGCCTCAACAAAACCTTCTGGCATCATCCAGAGTACAAAATGCAGTTTCTTTGCATGTTGTGTTTTGAGCGAAAAGATCTTGATTTGCTGTTAAAACCAGTTCAAGTGATCAACGCTCACATTGTATATAGCACTGATTTCCATATACATTAAAAATGAAATATTGGGATGATTAAAAATAAAATCTCAGTGTGAAGAAACAAAATGTTTTTAACTAAAATATAAATAAGTGCAATTAACTAAATGATCAGAAATGTACTCAAGTGTTTAAAGCAGAAATATACAGTTCTATTTGTAAACAGAATGATGTTATTCAATGAAGAATTAGAGACACAAACCCATTATGGGCATTACAATTTACTGCATGTACAGTGCATTCTGTCATTTATGGCAAACATTATTTCAACCAATTTTGATAATGTTGCTGTTCTTCATAAGATGATGTACAGGGATTTGAAGAGTTGAGCAATTTGTAGATGCGTTTTTGAACACCACATGTATTATACCCAACAAATCTAAACTGATAACCCAGCAACATAGTAAACTGTACAAAGCAGACTTGGGAAAACAAATTCATAATGTTCAAAATACTGAGTTAACAAGTGTTATTCAAACCACAGCCATAATTGCAGTATCAAATTTACAAATTAAGACAACCACAACTGCACTTTAACCAAAACCCTCAAAATATTTTTTTCTTAATTTGATTTTTTTTAAAAAAACACAACAGAACTTGTTCCAGACACAACTAAAAGATACAAATAACGCTCTCATGTAGATTATTTCAGACAAAGTATGGAATTTATCTGAATTTATTACAATACTTAAAGAAAGCACACACCACATCTGTTGCAAACTATGACATTGAGATTTTACAAAATGCCAAAAAAAAGCTGACTCAGCTTTCGGACGACAAAATGATGTCTTTATGCACAAGATTCACTCAAGATTCAGACCCAAAATGTATTCACCTCTGGTTCCACCAATTTATAAAAAGAGCAAACAACAAGCAAACTAACCATCATTTCAGGTGGAACAAACCAATTTACCGAGATTTGTACTAACAATGCTTTCACTTTCTAATTTGGACCAGAGTATAACCCAGTGAAGAGGGAAGGGTGTTATTACTGCATCTACTATGTGCTTCTTATGCAACATTGGGCTAAACTTTGATGGGCAACAAATAAGAGTGTAAAACATTATTTGTACGTTAGAAACTGAAAAAACATCGTATTTCTCACGACTTCAGATTATAATTTACAACCGCACAGTTCTTTATGTCAAGTAACAACAAAGAAGTGCAACCATATACCATCCGGTTCTTCAATGGATTCCTCATTCTCATTAACCTAATGATTAAAACATTGGTAAAGTGCTATAAATACACATGCACTATGAATACTCGAGGCATAGTGTGTGTATTATTCTGAAGCAGTCAACGCACACTTCTGATTTCTTATACATCACAGTATAGGCACATGATAATAAGTCAAATACTTTTTGAAGACCTACCGTGATACATTTCAACTACATTGTGCCTCATATGTTCCAGCAATCGCTGTACATTTATTTTTAAAACTATTGGTAGATTTGCTTCAGATATTCAGTACTAGCTTTGCTTTCTGAATCGCAACGTAATCCCTGACTGTTCAGCGCCTTGGGACGTCCTCCTGACATGTAAGACGCTTTACAAATGTAATGTTGTATTGCATAAACGCAATACATTAGCACAATAGCTTTCTCAACCAATTTCACTCCCCAACTATGAACAGTCCCAAGGAGAAATTCTCCTGATTCTAAACTGCGAATCTGCTCGCAAGAAGCACCGCGAAGCGTACCTTACGACACATACAAGTCTGAAAAGCTCAACAGATCTACAGGTTTAAACATCACAACAAAGAACAGCGCAAGGCTCGAAAAACTGGGTTGAATCAACAGCAGCAGACACAAACACTGGCGTATGAGCACTCTTCCAACAAGCCACCCGAACGGGAGACACCTCACACTCACTCAGCGCGCAGCAACTGGTGGCGAGTGGGATTCTCAAAAGAGGCGGTCAATTTCTTCCGTTCAATAAAGAGCAACTTTTAAAGTACAGTAGTTGGGTTAGTTAGTAGTATGATCAGCTCCACCTCAATACAGTAAACAGGTCAACTCATGTACCCCCCCTGTAGGCTCAATTGCAGCCTCCCGAGCATGCTCACTCCACGTCAACTCACTGCAGCTTCAGCCATTTCATGGTCCAAGCTGCTGGCAGACATGACAGCCTGCCATTTGGAGATTAATCCCATGCACGGCTTTTGAATCACTAAGAGGGGGGGGGGAAAAAAATACTCTGATTCTAATTCTGGTGGTGGGGGAAGGGGGTTGGTGAGGGGGAGGGGTGGGGGGGGGGAAGTAGAGAGGACAAATTTATCCAAAGACCATGAAACCAAAGACAGAAAAACACTGCAAGTTTCAAAGCAGCAAATTGAAATGGAGAATTTAAACAATGAATTTGAGATTTCTGCCATTCTTTCCCAATGTGTGCACTGCTCACACGTTCTGAACAAGATTTTGAAGCTGAATATCGATGCAGAATGAGGGTCACTATGCCAACCTAACTGCAAAATGCTAACTTGCTGTTAAACATCAACAGCTCTTGAATTGTCCAGCAAATTTCTATTTTAAGAACAATGCCGCATTGACCAGGCAATAGGGTTGCCAGGTAAAGTGGCAATACCTGTGATCATTCATGAAAATAATGAGAAAGTGCTAGCAACTTCATAACCATGAACTGTAGATATGACAAGGAACTTAAAGGTGCAATATTTCTGTTTCACTTTGCCAACTCAAGTCTTAACGTAACAAAAGGGCCAAAAGAACAATGTCGACAAAGTGTCACATTATCCTGAACAGATCGTGTTTGAGGGAAATAAACAGGTCGAAGGATCCCAACTAACAAAACGAGAGTTTTTTTAAAATTCTGACTTAATGTTCAAATTATATTATCAACAGATGCAACAATATACTGAGATACACAATTTAGTTCAAGTGGAGGTACTCTTATCCAGCATCACTAAAACATGCTAACTACACCTACACAAGGAAGTATCTTGATCAATTTCAGTTAATAAGTCAAACGAGCAAGAGTAATTAGAAATGTATATTCGCAATTTCCCTATGGCATGACCGTTAAACCTCATTATTTTACATTGAAAAACAAGTGATTTCTGAGGTGAATATCATGCTGCACGGATTTTGGGTGTACGGCGAATATTAAGTACTTACATGTACCTCATGCGATGAGATTCATGTTAAAATGTATATATGGGTACAAAGCAATGACAAACGGAGACGTAAACGTTTTAAAAATATTGACCCATTTAACGAATAACTAATTTAGGGATACAACAAAGAGGAAACAACAATAAAGGCAATGGCAGATATCCAAATTGAGAGAGCTCCAAAGCCTCAAACTGAAATGCCATTTGAGTCATCACCTGGAGTAGAATCTACAGAAATGGCATCTATCACACTACGTAGATAGACAGTACAACAAATGCCCTACGCTTTAAACTGACAATAGAATAAAGAGTTTGGGATTGAGAAGCACCATTTGAGCAATACGATGATATGGTGAACCACAATCATATACATATGCAAACCCTTTGTTCTTAAAACTGGTAATTATTATTGGGAGACACGTTTTTATTATCCACTGATGGGAGACAAATGTGTTGGCGACAAAAAAATCAAGGATAAGAATTTGTGATAAAATACAGGTAAATATACGTGACATTCACCTGTAAGAGTTTAATAAATTACGCAGAATTGAAAACCAGATGGTGCATTTCAGAATAAATCCTGAATTTCCACCACCAGATTGCAATATACTTCCAACACACCAACACCCACCCACCTCCAAATTGGGAGGCCTGATTCAAAAAGCATCTTGCTCTTCGCAGATGCGTGCAAAAAAAATTAGAAGTCACATTACTTCATCTACCAGGAATGGAAGAATAATAAGGAAAGCAGCTTCTTATGGTTGTGTTTGCCTCTCTCTCTCTCCAAAACAAAACAGCCACCCCTTAAAAAGAACAAATCTCCCACCCCTTAAAAGGAACAAATCTTCCCAGGCAAAGGGGCGGTTAAAACACATTGATGGCAAACAATCGAGTGAGAGAAAAAAAAGAAAAACGCGCCAGGAAACTGCGAATGGCGACTTTTAAGTGTTAAAAAGGAGCACCTTTCCAATGCGTAAAGGCTCAACTTCCAAGAGGCTTCGGTTGACCATTGACAAAGATGCCCTTCCATCCTCCTCCTCCTCCTCCATGCTCGCTCGCTCTCTCTGCTCTTTCCGCACCACACACACAACACTTTCTTGCCCCCCAACTCGCCCCTTGGGTTACAAACCAAAAAGAGAAGAGAAACAGAGAGGGAGGAGGGCAACCAGAGAAAGGCAAAACATTGGGTTTGTGGTGGAGATATAGATATGGATAGTGATAGTGTGCGCATGTGAGTAAGAGGGAAAGAGATCAAGTGCATTGGGAAAGAAAGCCTTCAATGAAAAGAGAGGGGGAGGGGAATGGAAAAGAAAAAATAGAATGATAGTAAAATAAGAATTTTATGTCAAACAAAAAGCTGATAGATAACTTTGGGGGTATTGTGTGATAAGGGTGGGGGTGTGGGGGGGGGGGGGTGTGTGTTATGGGGGGGTGTTGTGGGGGGTGTGGGGAGGGGGAGTGTTGGGGGGGGAGTGTGTGTGGTGTGGGGGAGGGGAGTGTTGGGGGTGGGTGGGGGGGGAGTGTGTATGTGGGGGAGTGTGTGTGGTGTTGGGGGGGGGAGTGTGTGGGTGGGGGGAGTGTGGGGTGGGGGGGTGTTGGGGGTGGGGGGTGTGGGGGAGGGTGTGAGAGGGGAGAGGGTGTGGGGGAGGGGGGAGTGTTGGGGGGGTGGTGAGTGTTGGGGGGGGGGGGAGTGTGGGGGGGGGGGGTGTGGGGGGAAGAGAATAAAATCAAACAGAACAGCCGTTGGGGCGAGCGAGAGGCTAATAACCGCCTGTGCCGCGCGCCCGGGAACCAGCGCAGGTCATAACCGGGTCCCGGCGGCGGCCGCGGGGCAGCGCGTTACACACATGCCGGGGCGGGGGGGGGCCGCCCCCTCTCACACACACACACACACACACAAAAGCCACAACTTTTTAATGGCGGTCACCGGGCCCCCGCCCCCCGGGGCCCCCTGTGGGCAGTGCCCCCCCCCCGGGGCCCCCTGTGGGCCGGGTCGGGTCGGGTCGGGCGGGGTTCGAGCGGCGGCGGTGGGGCCCGAGTTGGGTTAAGTTTTCGCCGCTTACCTCAGTGTGCGCGGCGGCCATGGCTCCGCACGGCGTGACCAGCGCGTGACGTCACCGCGTCACTCCCCCCCCACTCCTGGGCGTGAGATACACAGCGTGAGATACCGGAGATACGGGCGGAGAGAGATACGGGGGAGAGAGATACGGGCGGAGAGAGATACGGGCGGCGCGAGATACGGGCGGAGAGAGATACGGGCGGAGAGAGATACGGGCGGCGCGAGATACGGGCGGCGCGAGATACGGGCGGCGCGAGATACGGGCGGAGCGAGATACAGGCGGCGCGAGATACGGGCGGCGCGAGATACGGGCGGCGCAAGATACGGGCGGCGCGAGATACGGGTGGAGCGAGATACAGGCGGCGCGAGATACGGGCGGCGCGAGATACGGGCGGCGCAAGATACGGGCGGCGCGAGATACGGGTGGAGCGAGATACGGGCGGAGAGAGATACGGGTGGCGCGAGATACGGGGGGCGCGAGATACGGGCGGCGCGAGATACGGGCGGCGCGAGATACGGGCGGCGCGAGATACGGGCGGCGCGAGATACGGGCGGCGCGAGATACGGGCGGCGCGAGATACGGGCGGCTCAAGGCCAAGTTGCGCGCTGTGTCAGATACAGAGACGGAGCCTGAAATATCACGTCTTCGAGACATCGCAAAGCCCTTCACGGAATACACTGTGAAGCGAACTGACTGCGTATTCTGTGGGCGAAACGCGGCGGCCGATCGCGATCAGAGGTTCGCGGGTTGTGTGACCAAATTATTATCTTTTTTTTAGTTTAGATTATTTTTTTTTGGACGGGTTTACTGAACCCCCGGAAAAGCAATCTGCCCATCGACTAACAACCCGGTTCCTACTTACTGCGACGTAACAGAGGTGTGTGTGTGTGAGTGTGTGTGCGCAGCTGCTGCCCAGGTGCAGCCGTGTGCGGTCAATGGCAGTATCTCTCTCTCGTTCAAAAAAAAACGGGTCCGCACTCGATTTCCACGACGACGCGTAGCGTAGCTTCCAGCAGCAACTCAACAGTTTGAAATGCAAACTGTCTTTGTCTGGGAAGTGAGAAGTTTCTCAGCTTCCCCCTCTCCCCCGAGAAGCCTTACCCGAGGACGTCAGCTGGGAGCAGCCCCGACCACTCCAAGGACCGCTCCAACTCCCCGGTGTGATTGGAAGGCGACGGGACAGGAGGATGTTAATTGGGTACCAATGTCCCTGCCTCAGCCACACACACAGCCTTTCTGGCAGCCTGTACCACTGATCCTGCCCCGCAGCTCGGGTCCAAATCCTGACTGTCCATCTCCTTGGGAAGTCAGCAACTAAGAGTTGACGGTAACGTGTGTTGCGGTGGACACCGGAAGCGGAGCACTTAACACCCGCACGTTACTGTGCGGGATTTCTCGCTCGAGGACCTTTCCGAAATACTTTACCAAATCAACACAATTCCATCAAAGAAAGGTGGCCACAGTGTAGACGGGATCCCGTGAGTGATGATGTGGGAATAAAAGCACAGTCTCCACTGAATCGCGAGACCCTGCATTTTTGACTGTGATACAAAAGGCTGCATTTTTCACCCCCCCCCCCCCCACCCACTCCTCCATCTGCCAAAAACCCAGTGTTACCAATCTTCTGGGTAATAATAATAATAATCATCCTTGCATTTAATATAGCGCCTTACCACATCTTCGACACATCTCAAAGCGCCTTATCACGTGTTCGAGATGTCTCAAAGGGCTTCGCAGCATATACTGTAAAGTGATTCGACTGTGTATTTTGTGGGTACAGTCCCAAACCAGCGAACGTTTTAAAAGGATTAAACCAAATATGTTTCTTTAATCTTTAACCAACCGACCGGCGTGTGGCTGGGCTGCAATGTTGCTCTCTTCATCGCGAGCCTCATTTGCGAATGACTTGCTGCTCTCGATAGGTTCCTTCGTGTTGGTTTCCACTGACCAGAGCTGGAGAACTGAAGCCTCGCGCACACAGCCGAACAAGAGACAGTTTTACTGCCACCTCGTGGGCCGACTACGTACACAGATCCTCCACGTTCTGGAGGCCCATTTCAAAATAAAAGTCTTCCTTTACACCCACCGCACCTCCTTCCCTGCCCAAGCCCTTTGCAAGGCCATGCTAACATTTTCAACGTCTTAACGCTTAACGTGGTTTCAACGTTGGCCCCTCGTCCTCTCCGAAAAAGACTTTGCATATCTGTCAGAATCAGTGAAAAGGTGTCTTCATGCCGTATCAGTTTCCGAGAAAGCAGCATTTACAGTAAAGTGGTTTCCTGTTGGCTGCTGAACCTTGAGGCCTAAATGTTTGGGTCTGTTGCTGAGTTATAAATCACCCAGGCCAGAGAACAACTAACAGAATAGATTACATATTCCCAGGTTCAATCTCAACATGAGCGAGAGACCTGACCTGGATCTCTCTCTCTCTCTCACACACACACACACACACACTCAGTTCAGCTCAGAAAATCTTGCATGGAAATGTGTCTTCCCAACACATCTGTCTGATGGAAAGGTTCAGAGGTAAGGATTATCCCGTTGATAATTAGTTGAGACACATTATATTTGGCTACAAATACACAGTCACTACATCTAAAGCAATATGAAATGCGAGGATTATAAGTGATCGGCTGTTTCCACTTGTATATTTAATAAAAATATATATATATATATCAGGTACAAAGACTTCTCAAACCATTCCAATTGATAAAAGTCTCCCTGTAACATTTTGTACTTTCTCCTGAAATATTACACACAGAATATATTTCATTTCACTTTGAGCCTTGTAAGCAGAGTATTTATTTTACACATCGCTGCAGAGCAAAATGCTTCCCAGTGTTTTCAGTCCAAAAAAAGAGTTTTGTGTCTCTCTATTAGGGGGTCAGGAGAGAAGACTCAAAGTATGTTTTGCTTCCTACATTATTCAGCAGTGTTCCCTCACGTATATCTTTGCGTAACAAACTATTCCCAAAGTTGCATTAGAAATGCACAGTACAGTATTTATATAACGTGGGTGATTCTGGTTTCCTTATAAAATACAAAGTATGGAATTTCCTTACTCCACACGCCTATGTTTACCAGCAGTAGGTAGGAACACGGGTTGTTAGTCGATTAGCGGATCCCTTTACCGGGGGTAATAATCCCTTAAAAAATTTTTTTTTAAATGTGGTCCCTTAATCCACGCGCCCAGTACAGGCAACCAAACCCGAGACATAGCGAAGGAGAAGTACATTTTCCAGACCAAATGTCCTGAGAAACGACTGATTGGTACCCAAATTTCCAACTGTTTATGCAAATGGTGCCAGCAGTATATTAGAAGAGCAAAGCTTGTCTCCAGCTGCACCAGTGCTGAAAATCAAATCAACAGATCATCTTCAACAACAACAACAAGATAACATGTGTATAGCGCCTTTCACGTCGGGAGGATGACCCAAGTCGCTGGATAGTGACAGCATTTCAGACCCGAGCTGGGGCCAGGGAGGGAGAAGGGATGGGAGGGGAAGGGGGGTGACCGATGGTATGGTCGAAGAGTAGGGTGTTGAGCGGGACTTGAAGGAGGCTACAACAACAACAACAACAACAAGATTCCATTTATAAAGCGCCTTTCACGTCAGGAGGACGTCCCAAGGCGCTGGCTAAGGAGGGAGAGAGGTGGAATGATTGGGAGATGGAATTCCAGAGGTTGGGGGCAGAGTGGCTGAAGGCTCTCCCACCAATGGTGGGGTGGGTGACGTGCAGCAGCCAGAGCCGGCTGAACGGAGGGAGTGGGTGGGTTGGTAAGGGGTTAGGAGCTCGCAGAGTTGGGTGGGGTGAGGCCATGGAGGGCTTTGTAGGTGAGGACCAGGATCTTGAACTGGATGCTCTGAAGGATAGGGAGCCAATGGAGTCGGGGGAGATGGGGTCACGGAGTTTGGTGCGGGAGAGGACATGGGCTGCAGAGTTAGTTCTGGATTACCTGCAGCCTGTGGAGGGAGGAGTTGGGAAGGCGGACAAGCAGGGAGTTTGCATAGTCGAGCCTGGAGGTGATGAAGGCACGAACAAGAGTTTCAGCGGTCTGAGGGATGAGGTAGTGGCGGAGTAGGGCGATGTTACGGAGTTGAGGAAAGGCAGAGAGGGTCATGGCTCGGACCAATGTGTGGTAGAAAAGAAAGTTGAGGATCGAACAAGACGCCTGATATTCAAAGTGACTCTTACAAAAAAGACAACAGTTTGGTCCTCAGACAGGCCGTGGCATGACTTTCATCAGGTCTCAGAAAAGACATCTGATTAATCTCTGTCTCTCTCTCTCTCTTTATAAAATTATATGATTGTGACTTTAAAACTCCACTTTATAACAGTAGTCTGGTCTGTTGCTGTATTCGTGAGCCCCCCGCTTTCCTTACTCCACACGCCCGCCTCTGTTTACCCGGCAGTAAGTGGGAACCCGGTTGTTAGTCAATTGGCAGATCGCTTTCCAGGGCTAACAATCTCTCCAAAAAAAAAAGGGGGTGGGGGGGTCACTCAATCCACCGCTGTTTGCGGGACGCTGCTGTGCGCAATTCGCTGCCACGATTCGCCCGCAAAATATACCGTCAATTCAAAATATGTTTTACTTTGCCAATTAGCCTCGTCTGGTGAATCGCACAGTGAGGAATGGAACGGAAATGGAGACCGGTTTATTGGCCCAACAAGTACCTTGTTGAGTGTGAGTGTGCCCTCTGGCGGCCATAATTGGTTGGAGTCGTACACGCTAAAGTTTGGATTCTACCGTTGCTGTACAAGCTGACACGACGGGAACACTGCAATATCGGAGGCTCCGTCTCTCGGACGAGATGCTAAATCGAGGTTCCACCTGTCTGTTTAGACCCTACCCCACTGTTTGATAACAAGAAGGGAGTGTAAATTTTGGTCGCTCGCTCGGCAAATTTGCCTGCTGCGTTCGCCTACAAAACAGTCACAACACTGCGCAGTAAATAATAATAATAATCCTTACATTAGCTCCCCAGCTCCCTATCGTGTCATCGAGACGTAGCAAAGCACTTCACAGAATATACTGCA